ATGGAAACCGAATATCGTTTTGCATTATTCAAACTTTTATCTGGTCTGTGTAGTGCAACAGATCCCCAAAGCATTGAGGAATAGTAAGAAAATGTTGAATGTCAGTCCTGTGGCAGCTGTGCCCTTGACCAACCATGGCTTGGGAATTTCATGCTTTCATCTATTGGACTCCAGTATTTGAAGATCATGAATAGGCATTCATACTATTTCAGAGCAGATCACTACATCTCAGTGGAACCATGTGTGAATGTGAAATGTAAAGGAAGAAATTTGTCAATTTTGTCTTCAGTGTGTTGGAATTTTGTTGACAAAACCTTGAAACTAAGGTCTGATTAACAATACCTCCATTAAAGTATTTACACTATAAGTACTTTGCTGTATGGTTACTTGAGATAGGTCGACATAGTAATATTCATGAGGTAGGAAAACAGTCTGATTGTCAACAGAGCCTAGCTGTAAAAGACTTAAAAATATAGGTTTTTTTCTGAAGTGAATGAGTTCACAACAGTTATATACTCTGCAAAAAAAGAAATGCAAAAGTGATTTTAGATGTAGATTTTTTATATCATACAAATAATCAACATATGGTAATTGATTGTTTACAAATTTGCACGCATCATTCTCATTGACCCAGGTTCAATATGGTACACATAGAACAGTACAATTTCAAGATGAAGGTCATCTGTGCTCAATATCTTGTGTGGCCACCAGTAGAGTCCAAAACTGGCTGGCATTGTGACTATCATCAGATCCTAGATCATCCAATCTGCCTGCAGAGCTTGTGCCAAGTGTCCGAGGCTCTGTGCTTGTTGCTGACGTGCTCACAGTCGTTGATCCAGCTAGTGCATCCCATAAATGTTCGATTGGGTGTAAATCTGGAGACCTGGAGGGCCATGGCAGGACCTATATGTTGTGATTCATGAAGAAGGTTGTAGTCAGTTTTGCCGTGTAAAGTTGGGCGTTGTCTTGTTGGAAAATGACGTTCACTTGTGAATTATGAGAAGGATTGTGGCCGCAGGGCGAAGCATAAAACATTATTCATCACTGAACCAAACTTCTCTCCATCACACTTGTGGCCATACTCTATGACCTTCACATCATTGACGTTGCAGCTGACGATGCTGGTCTGACAAAATGACTGTAACTGGTCTTCTAGGGTGAATACCTTCAGCGCAGAAACGGTTCCTCACTGTCTGGGATGATATGGTACTGGTGTTGCCGTAGTTGTAAAGGTGGACGTGGTGGTTCTTTCATGTAAGTGACGTAGCCGTATGAATCTGTCCTGTGCTCTTGCAGTGATACATGGTCGACTAGATCTGGGAAAGTCACATGTTGTCCCCTGTGTCTGATAAAAGTTTCCACAGTCTTGTAATGGTGCTTGGTGCTACACGGAAAAACCTAGCTACGGCTGAAGATGATTTGCCTGTATGCAGTTGGACAATGGCGTTGTTGCATTGGGATTCCGTCAGTTGTGGCATGTTTTCGCTGTTCACATTATGTAAGATAGTGATGGCATGCAAATGAAAAGAGAGCAATTTTATGGTCCAACAAGTGATGTACATGTCATTTTGGTGTGTTTTGGTTTCAGGCTCTCACATGGCCTTTTTTTTTCTCAGGCTTTTCACCAAATTTCTGCAGTACCGAATTTTTTCCCACACAAACCAATGACAAATTCATTTAAGGATTGACTGTGTATTTTGTTTGGTTCATTGAGGTATGAATTGAAAAACCGATGCGCAAACTGTAGGAAATCTTACAAAAGTTTCCACATCGGTTTTTAGATTCATACATCAATGGACCCAAAAAATACAGTCAATGCTTATAACATGTTTTTTATACAATAGTTTAACAAAAAACAGTTGTATATATCAAAGCAGACAAAAATGATGACATTGATAAGCATTCCAGATGTAGGAATACATGCTGTGGCGTGACATGAATCAGGTGATTGTTTACTTTATGCACAGAACTTGACATGTCTTCAAAGTCATTAGCCAATCATCAGAGAGTAGGATCAAAACAATGTTCATAGGACCTGTCAATGAAGGCAAGAGGTGAGAAGAAGTGCAACAGTCATACAGTAATGAACCGGAAGAAACATGTCCAGAAGAAGGCGGCTGTTTCAAACGACATGGTCAGTTACCGACAGATTCAAACATTAGTTCCCTGAGAACAGGAAGACACAGTTAGAAAAATGCCAGTTAGAAATGAAACCCAAAGACATGAAAGTTGTGGAACCGAGGCGAGTTGGAAAAAACAAGCGAGAGAGCCTGCACGTTTGCTGTTGCATTCCTTCTTGCCCTTTGGTTTCAAAGGGTTGTTTGGACAATGAATATACATGAATTTTGCTAAATGTCCTGTGCATGACGATGCTCTTGAGCAGAAAGGGAATTCCTTCAACTGTAATGTTGGGATTCCCCGACATTATGTAGTAACAAAAGTAGTCCGCCTCGGTGGGCATGGCTTAATATTTTACATTCATTGGGAAATGAATGCAATAACACACGACCAATTTGGCTAATCAGAATGCAGGAATTTCAATGAACACAACGAAAATGTAATTATTTTGGTATTAATTTTGTATGGATATCTGCAACACTCAGATATTTATGATTTACTACTTCTGCGTTTCTTTTTTTGCAGAGTATATGTTTGTAAATAATCGCAACATCTAAGGATATTGCAAAAACATTTCCCACATCAAGTTGCTTTTGATAGTTCTGAACTATTTGTCATTTCCTAGTCCATGTTTTGGAACTAATTTTGTAAACACCTATAAGTGTCTCCATTTTTATGTAGCTATGAATTCTGTCCAACCTTCAATAGAACAATACAGTTTGATAACAGTCAGTGTCAGCATGGACCTATCAGTTGAAACTGAATGAAATATATGCTTGGCCAGCAATCTTTTGAGGCGATGACCTTTTGAACCTTATGAAGAACAGCTGTTCATATTTCCCTATTAATTGAAATGCCAAATCTAAAGTTCACTGTACTGAAAAGCTATATTCTTTATCAATGATCATATTTGCTCTTAGGGGGTTCTAGGACCAAGTACCCAGTGCCCTATGCTTGTTGTAAGAAGTGACTAAAATGAAGATGATGGTCCCATGCTCGGTGTAGGAAGTGAAAATAGTGAAGATCATGGACCCATGCTTGTTGTAAGAAGTGACAATAATGAAGATCATGGACCCATGCTTGGTGTAAAAAGTGACAATAATGAAGATCATCGACCCATGCTTGTAAGAAGCATATAAAATGAAGATCATGGACCCATGCTTGTTGTGAAAAGAGTCTAAAATGAAGATCATGGACCCATGCTTGTAAGAAGTGACAAAAATGAAGATCATGGACAAATGCTTGTAAGAAGCATATAAAATGTAGATTATAGACCCATGCTTGTTGGAAGTGACAAAAATGAAGATCATGGACCCATCCTTGTAAGAAGTATCTAAAATGAAGATCATGGACCCATGCTTTTTGGAAGTGACTAAAGGAAGATCATGGACCCATGCTTGTAAGAAGTGTCTAAAATGAAGATCATGGACAAATGCTTGTAAGAAGCATATAAAATGAAGATCATGGACCCATGCTTGTTGTGAAAAGAGTCTAAAATAAAGATCATGGACCCATGCTTGTAAGAAGTGACAAAAATGAAGATCGTGGACCGATGCTTGTAAGAAGCGTACAAAATGAAGATCATGGACCCATGCTTGTTGTAAGAAGTGACAAAGATGAAGATCAGGGACCCATGCCTGTAAGAAGCATATAAAATGAAGATCAGGGACCCATGCTTGTTATAAGAAGTGACAAAGATGAAGATCATGGACCCATGGTTGTAAGAAGTGTCTAAAATGAAGATCAGTGACCCCATGATTATTATAAGAAATGACAAGAATAAAGACCATAAACCCAACAGCTGAATTATGACTAATTACCAATTGGAGAATCCCATATGCTCAGTCACATCTTGGTTTATGCATATGATCCAGATTACAAAAGTCAAACTCAAATTTAAAGAGCTATCCTTCCTTCTATTATCCCCCACCATGAAGTGGAAGGGGGATATAGGAATGGGTGCCGCCCTTCTGTCCTTCCATCTGTCTGTCTGTCACATTTCGTTTCCCGAGCAGATCTTGAAAACCGTACCATATTTCTTCACCAAACTTGGCACATAGATAGGTCTAGTGGTGAACTGGTGCCTTTTGATAGTTTGGGATTGTTAAAGAAATTATTTTTCGAGTTTCCATGGCAACGACTTTGACTTAGACTGAAAATGGTGGTAGTCCTTGTTTCCGGAGCAGATCTTGAAAACCGTACCATATTTCTTCACCAAACATGGCACATAATGTCATCTCGCAGTAGTGAATACATTTCCTTTCTTGTTGGTAAGTTCTGCATTGCTTGTGTGTATGTTCCTCCAAAAGTGTCATGGACACGGTTGTTGCATTCACTGAATAACTTCATGCAGAAACACAACTCATTACAAATACAACAGTGTAACTGATCTTAAACCTACTCAACTGTATAAACACTGCCTCCTATCCCGTATATATTCCTGTCAACCCTACTCTGTACTTCACTTGCTTGATAACGGTGTTAGAACCTACACCAAAACCATCGCTCCTAATTGTAATAAAGAAGTTTTTCATCCATACGTCTCATCCTTACTCATTACAAATACAGTTACATATTTTATCATAAACTGCAGATGGCAAAACTACACCAGTAATAACTTTTTTAGTGCTGCAATTAGGCCAATTACAAAAAAGGCCCAGTGAACATAGTTCACAGGAGCTAAAGCATTGCACACAACCGGACATTTCATATTGGCGGGGGATATGAGTATATCATGCTTGTTCAGTATGTTATTGGGACTGACAAGCTGGACTATAACTGAAATACTGTCCATAGCAGTGTCAAACACAACTCATGCATTAACTCTGACAGTGAACTGTATTCTTTTATACCAGTGTGTAAGAATGAAATTCTGATTTCAGGAGCTGCCACTGGATGTCCTCAAACAGAGATGTCTGGAGCACATGGAAGTGATGTCCAGGAAACGCATCAGACGGATTCTGCATGGTAAGTTGCTCACACCTCCTTCCTTACCTAGGAGAATTCCAACTTATGAAGAAGTTTTTGTCTCAAAAATAGATTGCCTAAAGGTGAATGAAAATATCTAAGAAGAGTGAATGCCCTTTTTGATATAGCTGTATAGAAGATTTCAGCCATATAACTGAATCTTCCAATGTGTGATTGGATCTGAACCAGGCAACCCAATGACTGTAACCACCTTGTTCATTGGCTGAAGTGCACCAACTTGCAATGGCTGCTTCATGATGGTCTTCCTAGTTGGTCAGTCATCCAAGTACAATCCATGCTCAACCACATCATCGTCTTAAGTCACTGACTACAAATAGAAGAAATGAGCTACTACGTCTAGCTCTGTACACTCAAGAGGTACTGTGAGAAGACATGTCAGACATGAACCAGATGTGACTTTATATTTTTTAACTCACCAGTCATCTTTTGTTCTTTGTGGACTCCAATACGGAACTGTTATTGTTGCACAGTAGCCATATATCTTGATATCAGATGCTTCTTCTTGAAGTTGCTATACATCTTCTTTTTGATGTCAGTGGGTAAACTTAATTATACAGCAAGTATGATTTATGTTCATGAGTCTGCCTCTTGTCCTTCACATATCCTCTGTTTAGGTTTAAAATCCTTTCAAGCATAAAACATGTGTCAGAGGGTGAAAATAAATCTTGTGCAATGATGTGGATTCTGTTTGAGCCTATATATCCCTTGCACACACAAAAGTAAATTACGTTTACAAAGGCTTCAGTACCATTACAGTCATGATTAAACATTTGTGAAAACTGTAGACATTACTTGCCCACTATGTTGCAAAAAGAACATTATTTCTTAACTGTTTTTCTTTACTTATAACAGCAGAATCTCTGCACTGTTTCAACAAAATTGTAAGACAAGTTAAAATTACAAAATTGTTTGATCTGACAAAGGCATATACGGACAATGCAGGTATTTTAGGTCATGCATTGAATGAAGTCAGTGTATGTCATTGTATAACAACACAATATGAATTATTATGTTAATGAGTGCTAATTAATAGGGCCATAATGATACAATGATAGATTATCATGTTGCTGATATATTGCAATTGGTATGGACTTATGACAATACAAACAGTAACTCCGTAACTCCGTAACTCCGAGACTCCAATAGAGCTGAGATCATTTTGTGCATGTGGGACCGTTCCACAAACTGATATCACTGATATGACTATAATAAGCCAGTGTATGAGAGTTACGATCATCCAAACTCTAAGAACACCTTGTGGGTTGGGACCATGGGTTGGCTACCCCAATGTGCACTATATGTCCAGGCTTGATGTTTCCCACTGTGATATTGCAGGAATAATGATATAAGTGACATTGAAACTACACCCACTCACTTAAACCAGCAAAAAGGCGATTGACGGGATCGGAGGTCAGGCTCGGTGACTTAGTTGATGCATGTCATCGTATCCCAATTGTGTAGATCGATGCTCATGGTGCCAATCACTGGATTGTCAAGTCCAGACTCGATTATTTACAGACTGCCGTCATATAGCTGGAATATTGTTGAGTGTGGCATTAAACAACAAACAAACATCAGCCTCAATTATTACATGTTGATATTATACCATTTGATAGATATATATATCATATTGTGATGATGTCATCATGATAGGTAATACATCATGACCCTTGTTTTACGATAAGAATCATATCACACCTCCCGGTACCATTAGATATCTCTACTAATTAAGGATTGTCAACCTGTAATGTGTTTCTGACTGTTGTAAACTTCGGTAAGCACTGTCGTATCTATGACAGTTTATGCCTTTAGGTTAATGAAACTTTGAAACAGAGCCCGATTTAAGTCATCTATCAACATGATATAATAGACAGTACAGTAAGTATAAAATGATTTACAGTTGTGCCAGTGTCTTGAAAGGACTTTTTCAGTTGTGTGTCATGGAAAAAAAGAATTAACTTTTGCTTTATTGCATTGATGTCCAATTCTAGCCTGGGAGTCTGGTGAAAAGAGGGAGACGTTGTTTGATGTCTGAGGATGTATGCATCAAAGATGAATAGAGGAGAAAAGAAGAATTTGAAAATGTTTAACCAGCCAATGGTGTATTGATTTAAAGCCAAACTGGTCAGACTGCTGACCTCAATGTATGTATGTCATTAAAACTTGCTTGAAAGAAAGGGCAAGAGTGTTTGAACTATGAGGGAAACACAATGGCTTCGAATGCATCTGTTAAAATCAATGGGGAATATGTCAGCATTATTTTGTCCTGACCATATTGAGTTGACCATGTTGAACATGTAGGACCTGAGTCATGATTGATTTCTTTTAAAAAAATATTTGATATTGAAGTGACATGTAATTATTGTTGGTCATGTATAGCTGACCAAATGTGTGTTGGTACAGTATGATGAGAGGTGAAGTATCAGTATAAGGTTTTCTTGTGCATCGTTCAGTATCCTTGTCATGAAAGAGTTTAAGGCAAGTCACATTCACAATTCTTTATGGAATGATATAAAGGTGATGTAATATCTTGAAATATATGTATGCTGTCTCAATTTTATGTGTGTATATCAAGTACTTTTTAGATTCATGTTCAATCATACAAGGTTCAAAGATCTCTTCATGTAGATACATTGAGAGATACATGGATAGAGAGATAAAAGGGGTGATTGATATATTCTGAGCCACACATAGAGAGAATTTACCTAAAGCCATTAAATCTTTTCTTTCAATGTAATCAATCCCCTTCCTCTTTTGCCAATTATGTTGAATGGATTTTATAACAGCGCCCTAGAAGTCATTCTCTATGCTGTCCAAGAAGTTGCTATGATGTCATCATTTGAGTCAAGTTTGGTTCTGGCTAAAGCTTTCATCATGTTTGGGAACAGATGGAAGTGTGACAGAGTCATATCAGAAAAACATGGTGAAGGCCAAGAAGGTGTTCAAAGCCACATTCATGTATTGTGGCCATGGCAGTGACTGATTTGTGCACTGGCACATTGTTCTTATGGAAGAGCACACCTTTCTCAGCTTCCTATATCTCTTATTCTTTATTACATCCCGTAGTTTCCTCAAATGTGCAGCAAAATATGCTCCATTGTCATCTTGGAAGATAGTCCACTATGACACCCTCAGCATCCCAGAACATAGAGTCCCTGTACTCTTTGCTAGGAAATGTCTACTGAAATAGTAATATGACTCACAGTCGCCAGAGTGGATTCTCTGGATCATTTTTGGTGTTGCTGACGTGACAGGCCTTCCAGGACGGTGTAATCGTCAAGGCTGTCCCAGCCATGCTTAACTCTGTTGCTGATCTCTTTATTGTGGCGTAGGAGAGGGCATCCATCCCTAGGGTTGTACCGGTACTCATATTTTCATGGATGGCTTTTGGTGTTAAGCTGTTTTTTTCTGAAAGTACTTAATTACTGCACGTTCCTCAGTTTTCCTCCTTTTTCAAAAGATCACAGACCCCTGCTTATTTTAGTGACTTGGCTCAGTGAAACAATTTGCTCAATTGACTCAAATGGTTGTGGGTATACCTCTATGACATCATGTAAAGTCCACAACATAAGATTTCACTATTATGCAGGTCCTTCTATGTGAGGCTCAGAACTTAGCTATCGTCCCTCATAGATACATGGGCAGGCATTTTTGGGCACAAATGGTCACAAGAGGAACAACAAGCTATAAACTGCATACATGACATTTTGGTTGTTCAGCACAGGGGAAGTTGGGAAGCCAAGTGGTTAAAGCCTGGGTTCGATTCACCACATTGGCACAATGTATGAAGCCCATATCTATCATCTCCTCCCATAATATTGCTGGAATATAGCACTCACTCACTCACTCTTTCAGTATAGTTTCATGTTAATAGCATACCAGGTTCTAACACGACTCTATGGTGCCACATACTGAAAATGAGGCATAATATGTTTATAGTAAACAGTCTTGTTACTCCACAAGCCACATTTATCCTTGTAAAAGTCAATTCTTCCACATGGCCCATTTTCCTCTACAATTGACGTTAAAAATTTTGCACGGAAGAAAACAATCAAAATGTGAAATCGAATACCATAAAATAGGAATTATGATGGTAAATGCTCTTTGTTTTAACAGTGTTGACGTTAAAAATTGGCCACTCTCAACTCTATATGTGCAAAGAGGGATTGAACCTACAAAAGGTCTTACACTGAAGGGGATTGTGGGATAATGGAAAGGTCCGCAGAGACTCTAATTTCATTTTGTGCCATTTCATCAAAACACGATTCAGTGTTCTAGCACGCTAAAATTTAGGTAGAGTGACCCGAGAGAGAGAGGAAATAAAGTAAATGATATCGGAGGCAGATTGTGACTGCCCCCAGAGTGCTGGCCATGATATCTAGATTGATTTTAATTCATGCTGACCACTTACTGGGCCCTTCAGGGTCCGATTGAAGATTATACAGCTAGTGTGAATTCCCTCTAATGATTTTTATTGGGAGAAGATAGATTAGTGGATGGTGTAGAATCTACTATGTCAAGATAGTATTCGCTTGGAAATAATTATGGTGAATAGATAGAATTTTGAACGGTGGACTGAGTTTTTCTACCGATTTGGCATTGAATTTGGTTTAAGCCTCACAAATCATGCCAAAGTCACATTCAATTCTCATCAAAAGGTTCGGTGTTTCAATCTATTTGTTTGACATTTCCATTAAATTCATACCAAAAAAATCCATATATTGATTTTATTGATTTATTTGCAGTTTTACAACAATGAAAAGTCTTAATGTTGCTCTGAATTGTCTCAATGCTGCTTTGAGTTGGGTCAGTGTGGGGAAATTTAATGATACATTTGAGGATTCTGCTAACTGACTTGGAAAATTGACAGATGTTTTTTTATGCTGAATTGTGTGTTAAATGCTTGGAAGAGTGAAGTACTGCGTTCTGTTGTTTAACTGGAAGCTTTAGTCCACTCTGTGCTGAGTGTCTTCAGTTGG